TATATCCTACTCTCTGCGGTTGTCTTTAGCTGGCCCCACGATTCCTCACAGTCTCTTTTCTACTCAGATCTGAGTAGTGCTCGAGCACGATCTTCTCCATGTAACTTTAGGAAGCCCAACTTGTTGTTCCCCGTTCAGGTTCCACACGAGCGATGTCATTCGATGTTCTCCCCACAGTATGTCCAATCCATCTCCACTTTCTTCTGCATACATGATCAGGAACATGTTTTTGGTTAGTTTGGTCCCATAATTTCTTTCTGGCCCACCGCCTGGTCTTCAGTAAGAAGAGAAGGTAGTTGTTGATAAAAGTCTGCAGCAACTCGTTGTAAATGCTTCTCGTGATACGCTGGCCAAGCTTCTCACCCAGACAGAAGGACTGACTTAACATTGAAGATGAAAAGCCGAATCCTGTTCTTCAGGCTGCCTAGTACAGAAGACTTCCAAACTGGTTTCAAGTTGATGAAGGCGTATCTCGCCTTTCCGATTCTGACCTGCTTTGACGGCTTCATCCATTGAAACGATGCTTCCTAGATAAGTGAAGGAAGTAACCTCCGTCAAATCTCTCCCTCTGAAGGCGATTAGTGATGGTTGTGGTTCCTGTAGGTTGGTTATCTTCATCATCTACATCCTCTATATGTTCACCTGGAGTCCTGTCCCTGCTGCCTACCACGTCTGACAACTTGTTGGATTTTGCCTGTGAGTGTCCGAGTCTGTATGACATTAAACATAAATCATCATGTATTCACTTCAAACGCCTCGCTGAGTTTTCCCTGTGAATCACCTGACACCTGCCATTGTCATTCAGCTGTTAAATGGGTTTTCCCTCTCTTTAGTGATTAGGTTTCCCTAACAATCATTTATAGGTTTCATATACATTGATCTTATCCAGGTCATACTCCTGTTAATGCGATATAATGTTCTGAGGTTTCTTTCCCTGTTCTGCTCCAGTTGCTAATATGTCTTAGGATTGCTTTTTTTCTCTTCTAGCACTCTCCTTCACTTCTTGATTTAATGAACTCAGCCACTCCTTCTGTTGTCCAACTTTGCATTGTGTGATCTTCAGTTTCATCATCTGCCTTCCTTCTGATAGCTTTCTCGTGTCCATAGAGGGCCATTCCTGATCTTGTCTCATCCTTCATCATAGAAAGGCTGTTTAAGTTTCCTTGAACACAACTTTCAGAGTTCCAATATTCTTCCATGCAGGTTTCCTCAGTGATACCACATAGTGTCTCCTACTTTGCCCTGATCTGTAGTGAAGGGATCCCTTGTGGTTTTGTCCTTCAGTTTCTAAATGTTGAACATGAATTACAGTGGCCCGTCTCCAGGTTTTCTGAAGGATTTCAGCTCCACCTCCTAGAAATAGATGATGGTCTGAGCCCACATCTGCTCCCGCTCTCGACTTCATGTCCCCCAGGCCAGATGCGTCTCCACTTCCTTGAGCAGCATTGAGACAAAGTCTATCTGGTTTGTGGTGTGTCTGCCGGGCTTAATCCATGTTGTCTTGTGAATGTCCTTGTGTTTGCATACACCGCTTCCAACCACCAAGTCAATGAAGGCGCAGAAGTCAGCGAAGTGTTCTCCATTCTCAATCTTTTCGTTTAGAACCTGTTAACCCTTGATGAGTTCTCTTCCGGTATTGTCTGCTCTAAAGTTTATCATCCATATCATCCACTAAAATTTTGATGTCACCATTTGGGATGTTACCCATAACTGTTTGAAGTTGTTTGTAGAATTCTTTCTTCTTCTCTTGATCTGCGTTTTTCGTGGGTGTGTGGCATTGCATAATTGTGACCTTCCATGCTCGTGACTTGAATCTTACTGTCATAAACCTGAGGGTGGAGATTGGTTCCCACTGCATTAGAGCTTTGGCTGCCACTTGTGAGATCATTATAGGCACTCACTGCCTCAGTGCGCTGGAAGTTGTCATCTGGGTAACCAAACCGGAGTAGATTACTGACTCTCAAGTTGACAGTTTCAATAGTCCGCATCCATTCCACCTGCTCTCATAGATTCCTAGCACTCCTAAGTCATACCTTCTCATTTGTTTGGCAACCTGTAAAGCTTTCCAGCTTCGTACATTGTACAAGCATTCCACGTCCTGATACTCATTTTTACTTTCATCGAAAGGAGACAAACCGTCTAACTGGCTTCCCGAAGGCTTTTACCAGCCCACATCATTTCGTCTCTCCGATTCCAGATGAAAATAAATTTGTTTTTCATATTTTTCTGGTGAGTCGAAGTTTCAGTAGCCTTTAGATTGATTTTCCGGAGTAAGGTTACTACCCTCACCCTCCCTCTTTCGCCGAACTTGGGACTGGCTAGAAAACTAGTGGGCTAGTAAACTAGGCGAGTAAATCTGACTATTCCATGATGCACACAGTAGCCTAGAACTCTGTCTTCCCGGAACTAGTTAAGCAAATCAAGAACAGAAAGTATAGTTTCATTTGCTAATATCACCTGTAAATCTAATAAATTATAGGAAGTCAGCTACTAGAGTGGCTGCTCTGGTTTAACTTCGCAATGCTTTCTCACAGTCATAATAATGTCCAGTTGAGATGGGATAAAATTTCGGAATGCTTAGAATGTGAACATGCACAAACATCACTTTGAGACTATCAAATAAAATAGCACACAGAAACAAAAAAGAATAATCTAAGGTAGATAAACTACTTGTTTTTATTTCCAACATCTATTAATTGTACAGAAATGAAGTATACAATAGTTGAAGAATTTAGAATAGTAAGTGAAATTATTTAAGAGTAATGTAACGCTGGGAAGTGCATATTATTATCTGATAAAGTATTAGGTGCTACTTTGACCTTTAAAATAACAACATTTAGATATCATTATTTTGCTATTATTCTCGTTCGCTTGGATACATTTCACTGTAACTCAGAATAATAAACATTGCAGAAGATTCTAACCCAAAAAATATCAGCATTCTGTAGAATATGCATACCTAATTAGCAGATACATGTCCTCCAAGAAGTGAATAATATACTCAGCTCTGTGAAGCCAATACAGATAGATAGGGTACACCTAGTCCTTGATATCACGGAAAATATCATACAAGTACTGATATATATATAAGGACTACAGCAAGAAGACCTAGACACAAAGGTCTACCAGGAGAAACGACAAACAAAGTAGCTGATGACGATGGCAGTGAAGAAACTGAGATTTCTGAAAGCAAAGAAATGATATATCACCTTGTTTAGAAAATAACAGGAATTCTATTCACAAACACAAACAACTTTAAGTAGGGATTAAACTGTTTTTTATAAACTTCAATTCTTAAAGAAAAGCCATTGGCTTTGCAAACAAGCTATAAACAAATAAAAATAAAATACACCCTACTAAAAGCATTGCTTCTTTCAAATCATTTCAACAATACCAAACTTTGAATGTACATTCACTGTTAGTAATTTGATATAATCATAAGTTCATTAAATATTCTGGTCTAATTTATCAGAAATACTGAATGAAGTGTATTTCGATTACTGGCCATTACTATAATGGATACACATATATATATTCATATGCATTTAGGTGTATGCCTCATCATTAATTGATATATAAAACTGTTAATATAAACAATATAAACTTTTAAATGACAAAAAAGGGGGTCAAAGAAATAATACAAAAAAATAATGATACCGACAAGTACAATAATAATAATATTAATGAATCTTAAATGAAACCATATCTGAAATGAAATTAAACGTCTATACACAAATGAGAGAAGTATGATAAATAAGTAAATAACATAACACAAGTATTATACATAAATAGTCAACGGAAGACAATTGAAGTCAATATCAAGGGACATATTAAGAGACAGCAAAAGGTGTAAACAACAAACATTTTTACCATATATAATAATCATAATAATAATGAAATGTGAAAAGCAGAAATCATCAGCCACCAACTAAACAAGTCTTTATGTTATTTCAATGATTGACTAACTGACTGACTGACTATGCATACACAACAACACATCCCCCATAGGGAGTATTTAAAAGTTGTCTTTAAACGTAAACAATGACAGACAGTTTGTGTATATTGTAAATGCAATGATGAATGCAAAAAGAGAAAAGGATATTGTGAAAAAAGGACTTTTGAAAAGAAAATTAAATCAAATTCAATTAAATTAAATTAGGCAGAATAATAAAATGACAAAGAAGTATTCTTTTTTAATTAAAAGATACGAGAAAGCAACTTCAATCTCTAAGATGATGGATACACTGAAGCCAATTATCCTATGAAAGTTCACAGCAGAGAGTAGTAGATGATCAGTTAAAAAAAAAAACACATTTAAATACACACATTACTAATAGCTAACTTTGTACTAAAAATTAGCTGATGAAAACCTGTTTACACCACACATACATATATATACACACACACACACAATATTAATTAAATACATGAAAGACACAGTGATAAGAAAGTATTTGGTTCAAAGAAATCACCTAGAGTAGATGATGATGGATGTACAGTAGCAAAACTTTTAAACACCAAAAAAAAACAAAGAGTGCATGTGTGCATAGAAACATAAATGTTTGAAAACCAATTGAAAAGAAAAAAAATAGCCATACATGCATACATAACGGAAAGTACATAAGCAGATGCCATTAGACTGATTTAATCATAAAAAAGGAAAAATATTTTCAATCTTGTGTATAATAGGATATGATAGTAAGTGAACTCAGCACTGAAGAATGTATATATATATATATATATATATATATATATATATATATTGATGATATTATTTATAGAAGAATTAGAAAGAGACAAATTTAAAGCATATATAAATTAAAAATAAGTGTCATTCAATGAACGAAGCCAAAAAATTCATTCGTGTTCAAATAAACACAAATGAAATAAAAGATAGATAAACTTTCAACTATTTTGAGATGATATAAGGAAGGTGTATGAAACCGGTTACCACCAGAAAAGCGTAAGTAGCACATCTTAGTGGTAAATGATTCCATTGTTTAACACTGACAATTGACTGTATTACATTGTCTGTTATTATTCTTAATATTAATATTGTTATTAATAACAGAAGTGGACTGTAATGTAGGCAACGTTCTTTCTACTGATGCAAGTATCTCTAAGGCCATTTTACGAATAAGTCTAGCACAAGCGAGCTGGGATTCATCAGGTCCTACAAATGCGGCGACTCCAGCAGCACTTTGTCCTACAGGCTCAATATGTCCTACAGTTGAAGAATGTCTAGAAGCCTGAGGAAGTTGACTGTCTGACATGCAGCAATCACTGACACCTCCAGTTGCAATAGACGGTTCAGTGAAACGCTCGGAAAACAATGAATGAGAAGATTCACTGACAGAGTGATTATAAGCAGTATCATATGAAACAGGTGATAATCTGGTAGGATTGGCACTTTCATTCAAATTATCAGTATCATGAAATTGTGTACCAGAAACATGAGACGTTTGGTCGGATAATTGTCGTTGCAAGCTATGTGCACAGAGAACTGCTTCATCAAAAGAAACAACTAATCGTAGAAATGATAAGAGCGGTTGACATTCACATAGCACAGGTACATAACGCATCTCTAGAAAAAAGAGAAACAGAAATACATTATTCCATGTAAAAACCTTAACATAACATAGATAAGATGAATAACTGATCAGCAAACTCACTGGTTAACAAAAAGTAAATGAAAAGAGTTACACATACGACAACACATTTCGGCTAAATAAATCAAATATAAAAATCAGGTCATTGAACCAAGAAAGTATGACATTTTTCTTATGATGAAAATAAACGCTTGAATGCCAGTAATTCTATCATAATTATTCAGACTGTGAATACGTCAACACACGTTTACTTTTTCATCATTAAGAAAATATTTCCAACAGGCGTGTTTCTGTCACTAATGTCATGGAATATGTAGGGCTGTGAAGATGCACACTAGCATATTCTTTAGTCGTATAACACCATATAATTTTGTATGCTGTCCCATTGTATAACATATAGCCATTGTAAAGGTATAGCCCATTAGCTTGAGCACTTTGTTTTCAGTCGATGGGTCACGGACTCAAGACCCATTCTATAAAATACTCTAACCTGGGCAAGTAGGTAAGTATTGTAACGACAGAAGACAAGGGCCAGGCAACATATGTTTATTGAGAAAGTCAACAGATATTTATAGATTTTTATGTACATTATTATTCGTTATTTTAACAGGGAAGCAAGGTCCTCTGATTGGTTTTTCTTGCTGAAGGTTATTCTGTACTGCTTGTGACCGTTGCTTACAAAGTTACCCATATATCTGCGAATCGTTATTGCACACGCTAAGTCTGCTATGACTGGTTGTTGAGTTCCTCAAGGTTAGGCTTTGTTCCCGTTTTTCCTCCTGACCCCGATTCGGGACGTAAACACTGACGTAAATTGTTGTTTACAATTTTGACTTGCAGACAGCTCTCACCACAGTATCACCAGACCACACAAGAAAAGTGTGGCTTTTAGCCTTGTACATGAAAAATCTGTTCGGGCAAGACATTAGCAGTAAAACTGAATGCATTTACTGAACTTCATGCAATAAAATGATGATGTATGATGCCACTCATGATCTCAGCACCCATGAAAGGGACAGTGAACATATAAACCACCAGTGAAATGTTTACTTCTCACAGGTAAGAATCAAGGAAGACATGAATTGGAGTCTACTGATATTCGTCTAATCAACAACAGTTTTTCTAACGTTGATATCCAGTTTATTTCGGAAACTGAAAGGTATCTGAATTTCACTCAAGAGTTACTGGTGTCTGACAGTTCTGCGGTGAGTTCCTTCCTACTGTATAGTTCACCATTATTCCTCAGAAACTTTCCGACATCCCAAGTAAATTTGATATCAGAATTTGGGCACTGTAGTAGATTATATGTGTACAAGTGAATAATTCTATTCGACAAAACGCATGGTGATACAATGTTACAGTGATATCATTAAGTGTAACAAAGCTGTGCTTGAAGCGTCTTCAGTGAATAGACAATACTGTATCACTGGCTGTTTAATCAAACAAAATTATTCTATTATGTACATTTAATGACAGTAAAGATTAAATTCCAGTTCTCATGGATTAGCTTGGTCACATTTCAATACTGATTTGATTGCTTAACATGGGCGTTAAACAGAATTTTCAGTATTTGTTTCATTTAACTTAAAGCAGTAACGCAATCATACAGTAAAACAAATAAACTCGTTTTAAGGAATAGTATTACGTCAGTAAATGGGTCTGCATCAACTAATTAAATTTGTCAAGGTATACTAATCACTTCAACCAGAATATCACATTGTATTTACGGTTATAATTAATTTTTAAAGAAACTCTACCTTTCCGCGTTAAAATATGATGTATAGCCCAAACAGCCCACAGATGTATCTCTAAACGACTTTCCGGGTGTAAAACCAACAAACCAAAAGGCTCAAAAGAACGATATGCTACCATTTCAGATTGTGGTGGCTGCCAGTTACAAACGGCTTGACCCTTCAAAAGAAGACAAAAGAGAGAAGTGAGAAAATATTTGCACTATGGAAATGCACATCACATGACTGGAGTGATGCCACAGGAAAGTACCTTCAAAGACTCTAGATAGCATAGTTTAGGTAAATACATGCGTTATTTGCGTTGTCATTTGTCATTTTTATATTTATTGTATATTCTTCTCTTACCTTACAGTGTCGACAGTATGAACCTTCATTCACTAACCTTCTGCTTGATAAGCGGGTATGAGACGCGGCAACTTTAAGTACCACATAGTGATGCAAAATCGTCTCTTGATAACTTTTATACATACATAAAAACAATAAATGACATACTCAAAAACACCAAAAATAAGCACATAATCAGCAATTACATAGTAAGCAAAAGAAAAACACAAAAAATAACAAATAAATATTTGTCTGCAAGGCATTTAAAACTTCACAACATCACTTATTATGATAGATTTTGAACCATGTCATCAGAGGTATTTCGTGCCTCTGGTTGCTTGTATTTTGGGGCCTTAGAAACGGAATTCAAACAATTCATCGCTAAGACAGACCATACAAGAATTCATATACATACGATATGATACTGCTGGAATACTTAGTTCTCTTCGACATCATCGAGGTATATGGTAGTAAGGTGAAGCATAACACATTCAACAAATGTGTATAACCATATAATTTCCTGCATGTGACATAAGCACTCCTTACTCTATGATTCTACACTGTAAGAATAGTGCTTAAAACATCTACGACCTAACATTTGTAGCTTTCTCATTCTATCAAACTTAGGAGTTACTAGGAAGAACCATGGGACAGTAAACAGTACAATATCATGCAGTACACCTATATTTCGATAATTAACGAATCATTTCACTTTGGTAAGTGTCAAATGGTCTTTTGTATTTATTGTAAAATTTCGCAGATGACGTTTTTGGTCCCATTGGATGCAAAACTCTGACGTTCATAGCTAACTACACAAAGTTAATTATATGAATATAGAGACTAGCGATTCCGTGTGCATTTAAGCTCGACAGTTGAAGAATAGCCATGTAATGAGAAATGAAATGAAATGTATGAATTATAATATTGACAAAGGAAATAAAGATAATGATCCCAGTAAATTTACATGGGATTGTAATACCAGGATACCCAAAATGAGCGGTATCACATCAGCATCATCTTTATGTCTTCAAATTGAAGGGGGATTGTATTCGGGTGACATCACAAGGAGTTTTCATTTCCTTTTCCCATGATCTTCTACGTGTGTCCTCGGATGTCCAGCCTTTCAATTGACACTCAGGTTCTACGCGACGGCCCGGAGTATGATGTCTCCTCAACGCGTGTTTAACGTGCCACCATTTCTTTCTGCACATTTATTGCGCAACAGGCTTTTAGCTCTTTCATCCTTTCTAGCCGATGAAAGCAGTTGTTGATGGAAGTCTGAGGCCTGTTGTAAATGAGCCAATTGTCTGAGCCATACAGATGCAATCTCTTGACATTAATATTAAAAATACATATCTTGTTTCCTGTGCTGAGTGTTGTGCATCTCTTCACTGAGTGATCAGTATCAGTCTTACTGTCTCAATCTTCGATTATTTGACATCCTTATCTGAGCCGCCCGTAGTTGAAATCATGCTGCTTAGTTAGGTGAAAGTGACAACTTTCTTTGGATCTTTCCCGTGGATGGTGATTGCTGTCTGTCTGCTGTTAGTTGGGAATCCCCATCACCTGTTTTTTATGTTCACCAGTTCTGTCTTTTCTGCCTCTGCCAACTTGCTGGATTTTTAAAGTATGTTGAATACTCATGTGATGGAATTTTTGAAAAAACAGGCCTGCAGCGAATATACTTTTTAGTAGCTTCTCTTCAAAACTATGCAGTTAAAGTGCTCTCTAAAAGGCTATTCCAATACCGATAAAGGTCAGCTATTAATTTCAGTTGGTAACGAAACATGTGAGAAACGGACAAACCAAGAAACCTAGTTATGCCATCTTACGTAATCGAAGAAGTGTAAGTGATGAGTAGCGTTCAGAAATGATTATCAATAAAACTGTAAGCGCTCGGAAACAGAAATATTAATCATAAGTGTAAGAGATTCAGAATATGTATGAAGCATATTTTAAAAATAAAGAAAAAACTGATGACCTTTCGAACGGCTTAATATTGCCTTACATATTATTTTGAAATATTTCTCTAATGATACAGAATGATGTGTAAGAACAAGGTGCTAAAGAACTCAGCTATGAGTTCATCTAATTTCTCCCATCGACACCGACACTGGGAGATGTTTTTGTGCACATCTAGAAAAAGCCATAGCGGTAGGGCCTATATACTTAGCTCCATATAAGCAAATGCACTTGTATACACACATATATGTTACCAACAGTTGAACATCGACTTTAACCCAGTCAGTGACGAATAAAAGGTTTTCTGGATAGGTTGAAACGAAGAGAGGTATTTTTCGGACTACATTCGACAAGTCGTTTGAAGAATTTCAGCTGTTTTGCCATATTTCAATTTCACGTTTACAAACAACTTCCTCTACAGTACTTCTGTTTTTTCTGGATTATCAAACTTATTTTTTTTTATGCTAACAGATGAATAACGGTGGATAACCATTTTGAATTGTTTTTAGATTACGTAAGACTAAGTAACACAACTTAACCATTTCTTTCTTCTAGATATGGAATTTCACGTTTTTTAGCAACTGATATCAAAAGTTAACTGTTACTAACATTTTCATAACCTTTTAGAACACTATTTAAACTGTACAGCCTGAAGACAAGTTACGAAAGGAATACTGATCGTTGGTTTTCGTTTGTGCATATGCGACTTCATGTGACATGTCATAAACCATAGGTGAAATTCAGACCTTCTAGGGCCCTTTAGTCGATTCAACGAAAACTCGTCTTCTTACTCCTGGTTGTCTGATGCATGGTCCAGTCCACTGCAATCACGAAGATCATCTATGCGGTAGAGAGCCTCTTTTTAATTTGTCTCCGCTTTAGAGAATCCCTTTAAGTTTTCAATCGCATGTGGCGTCATAAAACAGCTGTTAAACGAGGTTTGTAAGTCTTTGCAGCACTACACTTTGTAGTATTGAAACAATTTCCTTGTCCTAACTATTTCCCTTGTTTCCGTTCACACGTCTACGACAGAGTTGCAGTGTTCTTCAGTAAAGATTTCTCAGAGATGCAGCTTAATTTCTCTGTCTTTTCTTGATGAGTGTAATGAAAGTGTGTCTTGTTGCCTCATGTCTGCTCAATCTAACATTTTACTAATGTTTCAGTTGAGTTAATTCTATTCATTAAAACAAACAAAAACTGGGAATAAATTTTCTAATTTCAACTCATTAAGACTAGTAATAACATTATGCATACATGTATTTAACCAAAAGCAAAGCCGAAAACTCACCAATAATTTAACATAACTTTCTTTACTAGACTGAATATTGCGCATCCAAGTGTCGTCTTTCAAACAAGACAGATGAGCAATAATACCGGCAGCAAAATAACTGATTTGAATACACGGATGTCTGAGCATTTTACTACAAATGTAAAACGAACAATGCTTTACATCTTATCATGCGATTTACGAATAATCAATTTAGGACAGATAATCAACACACTACGAAAAACCTAGAAGGTGCGTCAACTATTTTCATGAGCACCATAGTACAAACGAAAAACATGACACCATTTTTTGCACTTGAATGCATACCTTAAGCGATTCAGAAAATCGAATTCAGATGAGGACACACCGTTTAAATATGATCATTCAGTGCAAACGACCGTATAGGCCAAAGTGATAAGTCTAAACAAATCAATATAGTCAACAGAAAAGTTTAAAAAATACTCAGAAGAAGAGATTTAATGGAGTTGTAGCTAACAAAGTAACTGCACTTCTTCTGTCAAGAAAAATCAGTAAAAAAAGGACACAAGTGAGGTGGGAATAACTGTGTTATTTTAGAATACAGAAATCACCCATCACAATACACTTTACTGTGATTCAAAAAATATTTCAGGATTCCTTGTACAAGCTCAATTTAACGTATTTGAAATAAAGGAAATTTTCGCTCCAATACAAAAGTACTAAGTGAGCATAGGAAGCTGAATTCTTGAAATTGTAAGCAATTCCAAAAATAATAAAGAAGAATTAAATAAGATTGACTGCTGTTAACCTTAACAATCTATATTCACAAAAAAAAAGACAAAGAAGAGTCGAAAGCATACCTGACTAACTCACTGACTGGTTTCAACGTACAACATTGCACAGATATGTGCAGCAGTTCAAGTTGCCACACTCCCTCCACGTACCACACAAAGCAAGAATAAACAGTAAAGAGAGATAATAAACGCAAATGTGAAGCAAAAAGAAAAGTAATATGGAAGAACAATACAATTTTATTAGATATGGAAGATCACAAAGAATGAATGCATCTCCGCCATCATCGAGTACGATTTTGAGCCATATCAACAACCATCTCTAGCCACCGGCTTTTACCATCTCAATCAGGAAGTCTACACCTTCCGACGTGGCTGGCTTAAGTTAACTAGTATGAATCTCATGAAATGATGACGTGTTTTCATTTGACCACCCCCAGCTCTTTTCCAGCCTGATCCCATGTCAGCTAGCGTCGCCCATCGAGGAACGCAGTGGCATACTAATAAACCCCTTGAAAGGATCCCAAAATGCCAGACTTGGGATCACTTTAACTGATGGGTGGTAGTATACGATGGGTTTTGTTGCTTATTCATTCAAAAAACATAGGTCTGCCTGTCTGTCTGTCACAAGGAGTGGATGTATCGGCACCAGCCATTGAGAACGATTTTGAGCCGTATCACCAATTGTCGCCAGTTTCCATTGGTTTTACCGTCCCGAGGACTCCAACCGGTCAGGATGTCTACACCTTCCTACGTGGCTGGCTTAAACTAACTGGTGTGGATTTCATTGACTGGTGACATGTTTCGGTTTGACCGCCGCTACCTCTTTTCCAGCCTGACCCTGTGTCAGCTAACATTTCCCGTCGAGGAAGGCGATGACTAGGCATACGTAACACATGTCCTAACCATCTCAGTCTATGTAACTTCACAACCTCCTAGCACTCGACACCTAACCTCAATATTACTTACCCTATCATTCAAATTAACACGGGAGATAGAGCGCAGGTGCCTATGATCAAAGACAGCTAGCCACAGGACACAGGACTATGAATGAATCAGCATTCGGACACAATTATTCCACTTTATTTGAACGCCCACGGGACATGTCTTATACTGTTAACCCTACAACATATGACAATGCAAGACTGATAACTCGAATACTATTTTCAGATTCAGAGGAGAAACTCACAAGACAAAGACTAATTACTCCAGAAAAAAAAGCGATATGGTCACAATATACAGCCACTTATATAGTTATTTCACATGACTAATGAATTACTAGTTTACGATATAAAAATTGTGTTGTGAAAGTTTAGCGTGTAAAAATAAAAATTTAAAAAAAAAACAATTTAATGACTTGCCCTCCAACCTAAGTTAGGATCAAATATCTTAATTACAGATCATGTGGGAAACACTGACTCATAATATGTCTTCCGTTTTAACACCATGAACTTAATGTTCATCTACCAAGTGTAAGGAAATGCAATGGTGTGATTGATAACAATAGGCATATATCAGCATTTAGATTACGAAAATGAGTTATCATATGAACTGTATTTGCTTTTTAGGTTACACCATTTTTTATGCTAAAAATTACCACTTCAAACACACAGAGTGAAGTTAATTCACTTTGTATTTACAACTACTGACTGTGCAGACTGAATTCTATCAGTCAGGTTGTAATGTGGCCACCATTCTAGTAGCTCGTCATTACGCTGCACGTTGATTTGATGATATTAGATGGTTGAAGGCAATCGGCCAGAGGAAGCCTTCCCCGGACCTAGGTTTTATGCTAGTTGGCACTCGTCAGCAAGGCGTATCTGCAACCTTGAAGGAACTCAAGTCCCTTCGGACACTCGAATTTCAGAAGGGACATGAGTTCCTTCAAGGTTGCAGATACGCCTTGCTGCCGAGTGCCAACTAGCATGAAACCTAGGTTCAGGGCTTCCTGCCTATTGTCGCCAACCACCTAATATCATGAAATAACGGTAGATAAGCACAAAGACGTGGATATTATACAAGAACAGATAAACTGTGGAATGCCCTAACAATGTACCACACTGGGAAGGTTGCTTAAGTAGCCAAAGAAATGCGAAGATATGGCATAGAAGTGCGGGGTATTTGCGAAAGCAGATGGGACGGATGTGTATTATCCAAATTTTCAACTGGAGAGTCAGTAATCTACTCCGGCCTGGACACCCAGACGACAACCACGAGCACACTGAGGAACTCAGTGGCTAACATGATGTCACCAGTGGCAACCAAAGCTCTAATGCGGTGGGAACCAATCTCCACCCGCAGGTTTGTGACAGCAAGATTCAATTCACAAGCACGGGGGGAAGGTTACAATTATCCAATGCTACGCACAGTGCTACAAACAACGCGAAACAAGAGAAGAAGGAAGAATTTTACACACAACTACAAGCATAATGGACAACATCCCAAATGGTGACACCATAATCCTCATAGGCGATATGAATGCAAGCCAAACTGGGAGATAATACACGAAGAGAACTCATGTTGGCTCTTACTCGGAAATGAATGAGAACGGAGAATTATTCACGGACTTCTGCTCTTCCAACGATTGGTTATTAGAGGTAGCGTGTACAAACACAATGATACACACAAGGGCAGCGACATGGATTCCGTCTGACAGACATAACACTAAACAGATAGATTTCATCTCAATGCTACTCAACGAAGTCGAGATGCACCAAGACTCTTGGACACAAAGTCGAAAAGGGGAGTGAATATGGGCTAAGAACATCATCAAGTGTATGGATGCTTTCAGCTGAAGCTAAAATCCATGAAAACAAATGGAGACAGACCACTGTAATTCAAGTTCAACATTCAGAAACTGAAGGGCAAAACTACAAGGGATACCTTTACTACGGATCATATCAAAGCAAAGTCGAAAACACCACGTAGCATCACTGAGGAAACCTGCATGGAAGAACATTGGAACTAACTCTCTGACGGTGATACTCAAGGAAATGTGTACAACTGTTCTAGGAAGAAGGAAGAGACAAGACAAGAAAAGGAATGGCTCTGAACGGACACCTACCGGTAAACTAATAGAAGACAGGAGAGGAGAGGAGGACGGCGAAAGAGAAAACGACTCAATGCAAAGATGGACAACAGAGGGAGAAGCTGAGTTCACAGCAATCTACACTGCACTGAATCAAGAAAAACGTGAAGAAGAGTGCTAGGAAAGACGAAGGATAATTCCACAACACACTGTTCAGCAACTGAAGCACAGCAGGCCAGCAGGCTGCAGGTGAAAGAGACCTGACAATATTATATCAGATAACGAGGTCAGTGACCTCGCTAACCGGCAAGAGATCGACCCAGATGATGAGACCAATGAAAGATGTTCAAGGGAACCTGATTACCAAAGAGGAGAAAGAAAGAGGAAAATGGGCTGATCGCTTTAAAGGACTCTTGAATTGACCATCACCTGCAACTCGCCCAGAAATATCACCACCAGCACACACAGATCTGCTTGCCAGTGGACACCAGTCCTCCAACGAAAGCTGAAATACTAGATGCGATCAAGCTACTGAAGGCCAGCTGGGACGACAGTAGACCTAGGCGGAATTCCCTTTCACTCTGAAGCACTGAAAATGGACCCTGAAACTGAGGCAGATGTCCCACGTCATTATTGCAAAAGATTTGGAAGGAAGAAGAGGTACCTACCGACTGTCAAGCTGCCAAAGAATAGCGACTCACGGCTCACTCTGCAAGAACTGACTGGCGTGGAATAATGTTCTTGTCCACGCCAAGCAAAATACTATGTCGCGTCATCCTGGAGTGACTGAAAGATGCACTGGATCCAGAACCCCACCACCCACCGACCACAGCGAGATGACCGAATTCACGAAAGGCAAATCATCTGCTGATCAAATTCCAACTCTACGCATCGCCATCACAGAACAAAGCATAGAATGACAGTCAAACCTCTCTCTAACTCAACTTCCTTCATCGACTAAGAAAAGGCCTTCGACAGTCAGTGTTGACAGAGGAGTAATTTGCAAACTACATCAATACTACGGTGGTGTGCAGTTCTCAAGTCTTTGTCAACCTCATTCAGCAGTTGACTATATGACAATGCCTGCCGCGTGGTAGTCAGATGATCACCAACGGGAAACTCAGAGAGGCGTTCGAAGAGAATACGGGAGTAAGACAAACTAACCAGCCAACCAGCCTGCCTGTCTACCTGACTGCCTATTATCCCCCACGATGATATTTCTAATTGCAATGGACTGGATTATGCACTAGACTGCGAGTTGGCAGCGAGGAGACAGGAATTCGCTGGACTACTGATAAGGAGACTCCAGAAGATGTGAATTTTGCGTGTGGATGATATGTATCTAATGTGAAACAAAGTCGAAGGTTTGCAGGCTGGCGGAAACTGGCAACCAACTGGCTGAAGAAGCAGGCAGGAAGCGAAGAAACGACTCCAAGTGAACATAGAGAAGACGGAGGTGATGAAGGCAACCAACTACCATTACCGACAGCAACAACAACAACCAGCCTCTCTGTTTTCGAAATAGAACTTTCCACCGATGTGCAGCACTTCAAGTCCCCACACTCCCTCCTTGTAGCACACAAGGCAAACCAGGAAAAAAGAGGAAATGAATAACAGAGACAGTAAACAGAGGTGTGAGACAAAAGAGTAGTAATAACGAAGAACGATATAGTTTCATTGGAAATCATAAGTCACAAGGTGTGGATGCATCGGTGCCAACCATTGAGAACGATTTTGAGTCATATCACCAATTGTCTGCAGTCTTCATTGGTTTTTTTACTGTCCCGAGGACCCCAACCGGTCAGGATGTCTACACCTTCCTACGTGGCTGGCTTAAACTAACTGGTGTGGATTTCATTGACTGGTGACATGTTTTGGTTTGACTGTCGCTAGCTCCAGCACCAATCACCATCAACGGGAGAGATTTGACAGAGGTTACTTCCTGCCTTTAGCATTGTTTCAACTACAGACAGTCGGTACGGATGAAGATGTAAAAGTCAGACAGTTAGCCAGTCAATCAATCAGTCAGAATCGGAAAGGCAAGATACACCTTCATCAACCTGAAACCAGTTTGGAAATTTACACTAGGATATTCATCAACAATGTCAAGTCAGTCCTTCTATACGGGTCAGAAATTTGGCTAGTGTGTCACGAAAAGGATTTTCAACAGGCTACTGCAGACTTTTGTCAACAGCCGTCTTCACTGGCTCCATACTGAAGATCGAATTACCGGCCAGAAAGAATTAGCAACAAGAAACTCTTCCTGGCAACAAACCAACCAAGCGCCGTCACTCAACAGATATGTCGAAGAAAATGGAGACGGAATGGGTATGCACTGAGGAGGCCGTTGAATGACATCGCGCTCAATGCAGGCCATCGCTCCAGTGAAATCCAAAAGGGAGGCGACGAATGGGTCGTCCTGGGTTGAGATGGAGATCGTGAGAGGAAGAGATGAGAGATTATGGGTAATCGTGGACCCAGTTGAAGAGGACGGCAGTAAATAGAAGTGGAGATGTGTTGTTGAAGCCCAATGTTCCACTAGAAACTCTAGGGAATAATAATAAACTAACAGTTCAGATATGGATGAAGTTATTTCATTCGATCACAATTCAATAGGTACACAAAACCATAGATTACCAGATGATGATCGAACAGATCACTTAAATTAGTGAAATTAGCAATGATGACAGTTTGTGACCTGATCCCCTTAGCACTCAACAATGTATTCACTGTACTGTTTAAATTAAAGGTAATTGAGTCTGCAAAAACCTACAATCATATTGATACAAAGTTTTAATGAAACATCAGCAAATTATAATACTGCTACAAAATCTGGCTGAGATACATTTTAGCCGTAAAACAACTTCCAAATATTGGCAGAAGTTAGAATTCATGGGCAATTGGATCGGGTCCCAGTGGCTTAATGATCTACAAGCTCGCCTTGTAACCAGAAGGTCCTGGATTCGACCCCTGGTGGGTGAGTACTGCTGAAGAGTCCCAAACTACAATGGTTCTCTAACCAATGTCAGCTCATGATGAAATCCTGTAACTTCCAAATAATTTACTGACTATTGGTGTTCTAGCTTTACCTTTAAAAAATGTAGAATAACGGTGAGACTTTTTCTACTGTAGTTAGAAAAGATATTGACAGATAGCTATTTCGTATAAGATATAGTTTTACATAATCGTGAGGATAATGAATAAAAATTTCACTCTAGAATAAGTGAAATTTAAAAGGAAAATGTTAAACAGAACGTTCACACCTAAATTGTAATCCAAATATATATATACAGACTTACAAAAAGAAGTTCATTAAACTTTCTTTCAATAAGGTTTCACGCGTCTGTTCAACTTCCGCAACATTGTTCTATAAAACAAAGAATGTTAAATATTAAGTATAAAATGATTTAATGAAATCAAATGGAATATTAGACTGTAGAAATTACTACGAAGCTAACACGACCATTTTTTCTGCTTGTGGATTGGATTTCTCCACATTACAAGATAGATAGATATTTTACTGTTGGTTCAAAACAACCAGAATTTTGGACGATGTTAAAGTCGAAAAGTAACTGTAACTGTAATGAGCATAACTCAGCTTAGCATAGTTTTCACGAAAAATTAAAAGTAGTTGAGGAAACTGACACAATTTAAATACACCGTTCAAGAGATATTGTGGCAGCGCTTGGTATTGAAGTGAGTGCTGAGGAAGTACATCATATTAAGACACTTTACTTGAATTCATAAAATGATGTCCGAGGTCACGAAAATATGTTAGTCTACAAACAAGACAACCAGTGGTGTCCGTTGGGGATACTCAGTGTCACCTTCCTTATTTCATTTTATTATAGATGTAATGTTGAATATAAATCGGTTTAATTTTGACTACACTGGAATTGACTTATTACCACGAAGAGATCTCGTTGATTTAGAATACGTGAACGCTATAGTCATTTTGAGTAGAGACATTTACCACCGTAAGCATAATTCTGAATATGTATCACATGCAATTCTTGCTTATCAAATGCGAGATAATGCTATAGACAGGTTTGCACCAACTAGTTATTTGCGGATAGGCAACGAAATAGTTGGATTTATTGACGCTTCACTTATACAGGAAGTTGCATGAGGCCCTAGTGGCTCATAGCTAGGCACCGAATTGACTGAATTCTACCTAACTAACTGCACCAGTCCCCAGTGGAATTGGTGCTTAGGTCTGGCAACAGCCGATTTGCACGAATTCTTGGCTCCAGTAAGATATCCGTCTAACCATTAAGGGATGTGTGTACTGTGCAGCAGTTGGCTTTTCCCTACTTTAAAACTGATTTGAAAACAGTTCACAATGGTGCAGATACACTCACTAATCATTGTATTGCAGATTTTGAACATCTTTACCCTTCTTCACCTTTACCTCGCTAAGCCAGAAATAATGCTGGTAAAGAGGGAAGGTTGGACATGAGGCTAGCAACTACATCCTGTAAAAATAAACACTGCTACAGAAACTTCAAGTCACTTGCTTCAAGCCTTATGTTCCACTGGGGAACGTCAAGGAAAAAACCCTTCTTTGTGTAACTTATCTCTTATAAAATCCATAGTTATTCCTTCGTGTACATTTGTTTTCTTATTTATGAGTACTTTTCTGAAATGAGATATCTTGTATTGATTCACATTTTTGCCAAGTTCGGAGTGCATCGGTGGTTCAACTGTAGAACACTTGTCAACCACGCCTGACTTGGTCCGGTGTACTATCCTCGGCTGACACACTTCTAAACCTTCCTAAACTGATGGGAAGGCTGGTAAAGAGGAAGGTTAGGTGTGCGAGTAGCACCTTCACCCTGTAAAGATAACACCGCTGCAATCGAGACTTCATAGATTTATGCTTGAAGCCCTATGTTCCACTCGGAAGGTAAAGGAATAAAACTTACTAAATCAATTAAAAAATTCGTAAAGTTTGACATTCATTTATCGGTCAATCTCTAGTCAGCATTACTGACGATCAATTAATTATTCTAAACAAAAATAACTACAGTCCCTTCGGAACTTCAGGATAAGAAGTGGGGTAGAAACACCAGCAGGAAGAGTTTTCTCCTTGATATACATTACCAAACCTCCCTTTCTAAAAAACAACCCTTAGTGTAGTAAGTTTCCATCAATAACTGGAAATTCTATTCATCTTATAAAATGATCTGTTTAGTGTTGAAAAAATCAATGCATTCATTTACAACTGTCTATTTTCTCCATTAAATTATTTATTTATAAAAACTAGATAAGCACTGGAAACTGCATTGATGATTATCGCCTACTTATAAATTACAGATTATCAAGATGTAGTACGAGTTTCAAATGATACAGACCGATCAATCAACGACTTCACGACTGCCAAAATGTATTCATATTTCTTTTTCTAGAAGGTGTCATTAAATCCCATGTGTGTTTCTCTTCATTGTATCCTTGTTTACCGTTTTCCGATCCTTCCAATCGGCTTTCTCAAGTTTATTGAGTTTTGTTAAATCTGTTAAATTTTACAGTCAATTTGAAGGGATTATTCTATAGAGCTAAAGTGTTAAGAAGTAAATGATTCCCTTTCAGAATATCTCTTTGCTCATTAGCTTGACTAATATAGTATCTAAAGTCCTAGGGTCAATAATATTGCGTACACTACTAAGTGGTGCTCGGGAGGAACAAACCCAAGAGAACCAGGCGGCATGCTTTAGACCAGGAAGAGGGTGTATTGATCATATCTTCACTCTTCGACAGATTCTAGAACATAGGCACTCATACCGGCGTCCAACAATCATTATGTTTCTTGACCTAAAGGCGGAATTCGATTCTGTCGACCTAGGGGTACTATGGCGATGCTTGGTCCTGAAGGGAATTCTGAGGAAATACATTGCACTGATCAAGCCACTCACTCTACTCGAACTCATGCAGTCAGCCAGGTGAGGGCTTACGGCGAGTTGTCATCTGAAGTGGTGACGACTAGTGGTGTCCGTCAGGGATGCCCACTATCCCCATTTCTATCCAGTTTCATCGTAGATGTACTAATGAACCTAACCCTAACTAACTTCGGAGACTCAGGAATTAACTTGTTACTATCAGGGAATAATCCCGTTGACTTAGAATATGCAGAGAGTATAGTCCTTCTAGGCGAGGACGCTGACAAAATGCAGACACGGTCTTCTGAACACCTTGAGCTGGAATCTAGGATTATTTGGCATGTGATTCGCTCCCGCCAAATGTCAGATGATGTTATAGGACTGGACCACACTGACTCGTAGTTTAGAAATAGGGAGTGAAGTGGTAGAGCACGTTGACCGCCTCACTTATCTGGGAAGTACCATCAGCTCCAACGGGTTGACCTCTGACGAAATCTCAGCTGAGTAAGGATACAGAGGGCTGGTCTCGCATATGCCAGTTTACGCTGTCTCTGGCGTAGACGTGATATCCGGGTATCGACCAAAGGGCGTGTGTACTGCTCATCAGTCTGCTCCGTCCTCCTTTATGGCTGTGAGACATGGCCATTGAGAGTGGAAGACATCAAAAGGCCAGCTGTCTCTGATCATAGGTGCCTGCGTTCTATCTCCTGTGTTAAGTGGTGTAATAAGGTTAACAATACTGAGGTTAGGCGTCTATCGGGTGCTAGGTAAGGAGGGAAATCAATTGACGAGACTTTGAAGCTATATCGACTGAGATGGTTAGGACATGTGTTACGTATGCCTAGTCATCACCTTCCTCGACGGGCAATGTTAGCTGACACAGGGTCAGGCTGGAAAAGAGGTAGCGGCGGTCAAACCGAAACATGTCACCAGTCAATGAAATCCACACCAGTTAGTTTAAGCCAGCCACGTAGGAAGGTGTAGACATCCTGACCGGTTGGGGTCCTCGGGGCGGTAAAAACCAATGGTCTGGAACAATTGGTGATATGACTCAAAATGTTTCTCAATGGTTGGCGCCGATGCATCCACTCCTTGAGACTTATGATTTCCAATGAAACTATATCGTTCTTCGTTATTACTATTCCTTTGTCTCACACCTCTGTTTACTGTTTCTGTTATTCATTTCCTCTTTTTTCCTGGTTCGCCTTGTGTGCTACAAGGAGGGAGTGTGGGGACTTGAAGTGCTGCACATCGGTGGAAAGTTCTATGTCGAAAACAGACAGACAGACATATCCCTCTGCTCACATTTTCACATTGTCAGTCGGTAACTGTGAGTAAACTGTTGTTTTTGAAGGCGAAATCAACATTCAAACATATATCGATCTATAAACAGACAAACTTTTTTTTTATCTCTGTACAGAATTTTGTTAACTTTCAAACGAATAAACTACCTTCATCAGATAGATGGTCTACACTTCTTCAAAGCCAAATATTTCAATAACATTTTAGGACACAAAAATATATATGAAAACTATTTATTTTTTCTTCTAAATTTACTACTAGCAGATACTGTTTTGCTGGGGCAGTCGAATTACTTTACTGTTTTTTTCTCTGCTTATACACATTCGAAAACAAAGCTAACAGAAAGCGACGTGAAGCAAAGAAAAGCTTGGCGATAATAACGAATTACTTAGTATGAGACTAAGAATCTTTACCAAGACAGTTTTCTTTTTGCTTCGATTAATTTTCTGGTTGGTAACTTGGTTTTTAGTTTACTGTTCCACACGGTTTACAAGGTTCAAAACAAATATATTCTGCTTAACAGGTATCCAGGAAACACGGACAAGTTATGATCAGTCAGTCAACTGTAAATCATGTTATTCATTTTCTAGACTAAATGCTTTTGTTGAGTAAATATATTTTTCTATTGCGTGTTGTTGTTTAGTTGTTCTCCGAGTTGTAGATTAAGCAAATAAATTTGAAAAGGATTATCATGAATATCATCATTTATTCTGACTCGTTAGTGTGGCATTATTGATAGATATATGTATAAAACTTGGGCACTGTGGTAGAGTATAACTCCATTATGGATAAGATTTTATTCTGATAAATCATACAGTGTTATACAGTCAAGAAAATATTATCGTTAATGTGGGGATTGGGAGTTGAGTGCAGGAGAAGCAGATAAGCTGTAATCATGTGAAAACAGAGTTATCTTTATAACTATCATTCCATCGTGTTTTACAAATTTCCACGTACATGTGTCGTTATCACAGGACAGGGCTCCAAAAACATCAGCAAACCCGAGACTGTTAGCTCTGTTTATTATTCACAGTATCTTAAACACAGAATCAGCTCAAACAGTAAACAAACAAAAATGTGTTGTTGAGATAGTTTCTAAAGCTCAAACAAATTCAGTAAACAGGTTGAAGGGCAACTGTCCTCAACATTTTACAGCTTGCGTCGATTAGTAACAAACTGCACCTGAACTATGACTGCTTGACATTTGTTGTCAATTCAGAGTTCGCCAACATAAGCAGTTGCAAACCAAAAATGAATTCATATAAACTACTTTTTTTCTAAAAATATATACAGTTCAAGTTCTTTCTCAATTTTAACCAACGAATCAAAATCACTTTAAATAATGAGCATAATAATTGATCAGTTCTTAGAACTATTGACCAGTGAGATAAAAGCTTACAACTGCACGAAGAAATAGTATACACAATTTAGAAATAGGAGTGATACCAGCTGATGACAATGAAACATACACACACCTATATTTTCTATAATAAAAAAACTCACCAGCAGGCCAAGACACTTTGTATAGACATGGTTCTTAGTCTCTTCATTTTGATCAGCGAATCGCTAGAGAGAGGGTAAGAGAGAACAGAATACAAAGTCACGAAAAAATAGGTGTTTAAGTGCATAAATATATGGTTTTAGTGTGTACACTAGCGTATGATCAATCTACAACAATGAAAAAATTTGATTTCGTTTAGCTTAATTCACACATAAATTGGTCACAGCTAAACACTAAATATTTCAGAATTATATAATCGACAAATATGTACTTAATAGTTTGCAAACATCAGTCTACCACGGTTTGAAAAATTTGGGCATTGAGTATATGATATTCATTATAATAAAGGTTTTTTTATTTCCCAATGAATGAAAAACAATGAACGATAATGTTTTTACTGACGTTTCGCTATTTAATGCTAATAGCTTTATCAAAGTATTATATTATGAATAATACTTTGATAAAGAAAGCTATTAGCATTAAATAGCGAAACGTCAGTAAAAACAATATCGTTCATTGTTTTTCATTCACTGGGAAATACAAAAACCTTTATTATAATGAATCAGCCTACAACCTCTTAGTAAAATTGCTACATTCGTGAGGCAATGACAACTGACTGATTCATAACAGTTAAGAGAATACTGAAATCAAGATCAATTCCATGGTGACAAATTAATTACAAATACAGTGCATAGTGTATTTACAATAATATCAACTAAAATGTTACTTAAACATTATTCCACTTGAAATCTAAATTGAATATCACGACATAAGACACAGCAGTACAACTTGAAAAGCGTTATACTTCCAATGCCATCACTTCAATGATACTAAAATATAAAACCAACCCATGGTAATTAAATGTCCAAAATATTAACAAAAAACGAAGCCTTTCAGGTGTCACTTAGACAATTTCAGGCATTGACTGACTGACTAACTGACTGGTTTCAACGTACAACATTGCACAGATATGTGCAGCAGTTCAAGTTGCCACACTCCCTCCACGTACCACACAAAGCAAGAATAAACAGTAAAGAGAGATAATAAACGCAAATGTGAAGCAGAAAGAAAAGTAATATGGAAGAACAATACAATTTTATTAGATATGGAAGATCACAAAGAATGAATGCATCTCCGCCATCATCGAGTACGATTTTGAGCCATATCAACAACCATCTCTAGCCACCGGCTTTTACCATCTCAATCAGGAAGTCTACACCTTCCGACGTGGCTGGCTTAAGTTAACTAGTATGAATCTCATGAACTGATGGCGTGTTTTCATTTGACCACCGCCAGCTCTTTTCCAACCTGATCCGGCGAAGTTAAACTTTCGACACCACTAACTACCAATCAGCGAACGACGTCAAATTATCCAATGGGATTCACGAAGGCAGTTCAACATTGTATCAAGTCTGAATTGTTTTTCAAAGAGAGCAAACGAATACGGTCAGTATAATGAAGGAAAAATTCTAGAAAAATGGAGACCAATAACTCGGGAAAATATAATCAATTACATAACCATCACAGCTCATTTCATCAAACCGTTAATCCATTAGAAACTAAAATGAAACACAATTTATATTCACCTAACTTCTAACTAACATCCCGAAAAGAAAGCAGTCTGCTTCTAACAAATTATGCGTAACCATTAGGATTTCGGTCGTCATTAAAAACAAGTTTAATAATGCTAGTATCTCAGGATGTGTATTGAAAGCGAACGATAGAGGTAAATATAAAATTACCCAAAATGGATACACCTCCAGTAAAGTAGAAATATACCTTTAAAACTTTTTCATAAATAATTAAACCACCCTGGCGGACAAATCTTAAACAAGCTTCAGGGCATTCATCAGTTAGATTCCATAAAGCAGATAAAGTAAACCTCAAGGTGGTGTCAAAAATCGGTGGTCCTTCAGTGCGCAGGCGCAACTGTGGCATATAACTACGTAAACACGAACCAAGATCTGGAACATCTGATACCAAGAGGCATTTATCAGCAACATAGCTCAGAAGACATTCAATTCTCCTTGGATCTCTAGCTAAATCGGATAATCCAGACGTTGAGATCTGAAATTGCAATTTGGAAAAGAAGAAACAAATGATTCGACTTTATGAATAGAGAAAGTGTTACAAAAGATAGAGTTTTGTGACACAAGTCAACAATTTAGGTATATCAAAAAGTACTACTGCAAGGAGTGAATAATAATAATAATAATAATGCCCAAGCACTGTACAGATGGTTTAAAGACCATTCCATCTGCTTTGGTTTGGTCGGTGAGACAATTCTAACACTACTAATACGAACAAGAAACATGTACAAATTCGCTACTATATTTCTACTCTCTATCGATACACTTTTCTATTGAAATTTAATACAAACTATTCGCTCATTTTACTTCATCAAACAGACACCCACCATAGGCCAAAAAGTCAAAACATTTTCTTCTATATGCAGTTAAATTGATAACTGTGAGATATCTGGTGTACCTATTACTCAATATGAACCATTCTACCTGGAGGCAAGGTACCATTTTCATTCAGACTAAGATAATATAAGAAAGATCAGAACATGACGTGATATTAACCCAAAAAGCCAGTACACAATCCAGAACCATTATACAATCAGGAGTAAATAACTAAAAAAATACAAGATGTACTTTAACATCTCTTGCAATGATCCAGAGCGATTTGCTATTACACTCATTACGTATTCGTCTACTGAACGGTACAGTAGTTCCTTTTTAGGTGCTGTAAGGCAACAGTGACTTCTTATGCAAATGATCTAGCAGTGAATAACAAGCAAAGTTGTTTTATGAATGCTGCACACTGACTAAATCCCTACAACTAAGCTGGGTAAACAAACAAAATTGTCTGTCTGTCTGTCTGTTTTCGACATAGAACTTTGCACAAATGTGCGGAAGTTCAAGTCGCCACATTCCGTGTAGCACGCGAAGCAAGAGAAAATTACAAAATTACATAAAAAGTGATGAAATATGAAAGAAAAAGAAGAAGAGGAAGAATAAAAATAGTCTTTGAAATGCACAAGGTAGGCATATTTCTGACTAGAAAGGATAACTACAGTGATATCAGATACTATCATATTATTGAAAAATTTAACAAGGTGACCAAAATATAGGCTTACCTCAGCAGCTAGTATTGAAATTATTGCCACACCCATACGTTTCATATGAATGTCATCAAACGCAAGCAGGTTGTTGAAAACCAATTCACAACATTGTATACAATTGAAGGTCTATTTATAACAGTGTATACAAAAGACAATAAGCATCATTTACATTCAAAATTTTGTTCTCTGCACGACCGATAACTAGCAACAAATAGTCCAGATGGGATACTAGAAGCAATTTGAAAACTAGCAAAAATCACATAATCCTACTGATTTTGTGACAAAATAAACAGTTTCCTATATTTTTATTGAACAAGAATTTGTAATTAGGGCTTTTTTAAAGCTTTAGTAAAATTATAAACTCGGCATTATTTTTTCTGCATCACTTTAATGACGATGCATTTACTGACAACAAAAAAACACGAGAAAAAATTCTACTAATTATGCAATTAGAATACTGTCATTATACTTCTTTTTTTCAATGGAAACTGTATGTACACTACACATCAGTGAAAGTAGCAACACAAATGACTTCTTTGATTTTTGATTTGAAAAGTAACGAAAACGAAACAAGATAGCAATTTCACAAAAGCAATTTATATTTTAATAGATAATGTAGGCCTAAAATGCTTACAATTTACAAAAATCAACATTTTAAATATTTATTTAGCAGCTCAATACGAGGAAAAGGTATTGAGAAAGATAAATGTAATTGTTGTAAAAGCTAACTAACATTTACTGAACTCTGATCCTTTAACTGAAAGTGTATTTTAGGTAAAAGCAATCAATGTTGCGTCCTAGTAATCAATAATACAAAGCTATCAAGTATGCAAATTTTGTGCTTAGCTGAAAGTTTGCAATGTGGCGATGAATCATTGACCTAAGCACTCAACTCACACCTATCTAATAAGTCCTAGGTTAGAGCCCCACTCTACCTATATTAGCCTGCGCAACTGGATAGTATATGATCAGCTCTCGTACACGATTGCCTCATAGCCTGACTAGTGGAAAATCTGTTCCAAGTAACTGACTTCAGACAACTCAAGCTTTATAAGCCAACTGCACTGGTCAAAAGCGCTCAATATTTACAAATAAACCATATTATCACTTTAGCGTCAGTGGCATAGCGGTTAGGACGCTCGCCGACCATGCACATGGTCCGGGGTTCGATTCCCGACGCACTCCTATATCTCGCTAAGCCAGAGATAATGCTGGTGAGGAGGAAAGGTTGGGCATGAGGCTAGCAACCCCATCCTGTAAAAAGACACTGCTACAGAAACTTCAAGCCTTTAGCTTGAAGCCCTACGTTTCACTGGGGAACATGAAGCAAATAAAAAAATCACTTTAGCTCACTATGGGCTTGAACAGTAAAACAATCAAAGTGCAACTCAATCAGCTAAAATCAATCAAAATTTTGTACGGATGGCTTACTCCTGTGTTATACAGAGAATTATGTAGGTAGATATGTGTTGCGTCAAACAGCTCGGACAGTGTTATTGACACAAATTGATTCAAAGTTCACACACAATAAGAAATAAAGTTTATAAAAATATCCCAACTTAAATATGAACAGTTTTTACAGAAAAAAGTCATGTAAAAATTACACGATATTGTAATTGCACTTAGGTCACTACGTTTATCGTACAACTACTGTTTATCCCGTTACTTTACAATTTAAAACCCGTTTGATTTTTAAATCTATAATTATATTCTACATGAAGAAGCACGCGTAGCGTAACGGGCTATCACTATAATGATATATCTGATTTTATGTTTGATTTTATTTTAAAACCCGAAGAAAATCTACCGAAAAAAAATATCGTTCACTCAGACAGAAGTCTAATTCGTAAATTATTTCTATGTTTAGTCTTACGCTATACTACTTAAAATAGTAGTCATCTTTCGCTTTTTATTTAGGTTGTTTTATCATTTTAAGAGTTCAGCATCTGCGCACACTTGAAACACCAAATAGCAAGGGCGCATAACACAAACTTTAATAAATTTCAATTAAAATTACAGATAAGATGGTAGCGTGGAACTAATATTTATTAACCACGAAAGGAAAAGCTAATCAAGAAATCTAACATCAGGTAACTTCATTCGCCATACCACAGCGATGACGTCAATGGACGATGTTTTGAGGACATTTTGATGTTCATAATCACGCAATGTAGTTACAGAGACTTCTACCTACCTGTGGGTTTTTTTCATTACCTCATGTTTTTTTCGATTTCTATATTTCGAAAACTTACCATAGCCTGCTTGATTGATATAGAATCACGATCAATAGATACTTTTCAAACTGCTCCATTCAACTATGACAACAGAGAGCTTAAATCGATACGGTTTGTCTCTCAGTAGAGACATCAATGCCACCTCAATTAAGAGCCTAAATTCAAGAAATCGGCCATACTTGACTGTCTGTCTGTTTTAGACATAGAACTTTCCACCGATGTGCAGCACTTCAAGTCCCCACACTCCCTCCTTGTAGCACACAAACCAAGAGAAGAAAGTAGAAGAAATGCATAATAGAGACAGTAAACAGAGGTGTGAGACAAAGGAATAGTAATAACGAAGAACGATATAGTTTCATTGGAAATCATAAGTCTCAAGGAGTGGATGCATCGGCGCCAACCATTGAGAAACATTTTGAGTCATATCACCAATTGTTCCAGACCATTGGTTTTTACCGCCCCGAGGACCCCAACCGGTCAGGATGTCTACACCTTCCTACGTGGCTGGCTTAAACTAACTGGTGTGGATTTCATTGACTGGTGACATGTTTCGGTTTGACCGCCGCTACCTCTTTTCCAGCCTGACCCTGTGTCAGCTAACATTGCCCGTCGAGGAAGGTGATGACTAGGCATACGTAACACATGTCCTAACCATCTCAGTCGATATAGCTTCAAAGTCTCGTCAATTGATTTCCCCTCCTTACCTAGCACTCGATACGCCTAACCTCAGTATTGTTAACCTTATTACACCACTTAACACAGGAGATAGAACGCAGGCACCTATGATCAGAGACAGCTGGCCTTTTGATGTCTTCCACTCTCAATGGCCATGTCTCACAGCCATAAAGGAGGACGGAGCAGACTGATGAGCAGTACACACGCCCTTTGGTCGATACCCGGATATCACGTCTACGCCAGAGACAGCGTAAACTGGCATATGCGAGACCAGCCCTCTGTATCCTTACTGCTGAGATTTCGTCAGAGGTCAACCCGTTGGAGTTGGCTGATGGTACTTCCCAGATAAGTGAGGCGGTCAACGTGCTCTACCACTTCACTCCCTATTTCTAAACTACGAGTCAGTGTGGTCCAGTCCTATAACATCATCTGACATTTGGCGGGAGCGAATCACATGCCAAATAATCCTAGATTCCAGCTCAAGGTGTTCAGAAGACTCTGCATTTTGTCAGCGTCCTCGCCTAGAAGGACTATACTCTCTGCATATTCTAAGTCAACGGGATTATTCCCTGATAGTACAAGTTAATTCCTGAGTCTCCGAAGTCAGTTAGGGTTAGGTTCATTAGTACATCTACGATGAAACTGGATAGAAATGGGGATAGTGGGCATCCCTGACGGACACCACTAGTCGTCACCACTTCAGATGACAACTCGCCGTAAGCCCTCACCTGGCTGCATGAGTTCGAGTAGAGTGACTTGATCAGTGCAATGTATTTCCTCAGAATTCCCTTCAGGACCAAGCATCGCCATAGTACCCCTAGGTCGACAGAATCGAATTCCGCCTTTAGGTCAAGAAACATAATGATTGTTGGACGCCGGTATGAGTGCCTATGTTCTAGAATCTGTCGAAGAGTGAAGATATGATCAATACACCCTCTTCCTGGTCTAAAGCATGCCTGGTTCTCTTGGGTTTGTTCCTCCCGAGCACCACTTAGTATACGCAATATTATTGACCCTAGGACTTTAGATACTATATTTGTCAAGCTAATCCCTCTGTGATTATCACAGGAAGACTTATCTCCCTTCTTGTATATCGGGATAATCAGTGACTTACACCAACCCGATGGGACTTCCTCCGATTCCCAGATGCTGCCTAGTACCTCAGTTAATGCAGACAGTAAACTGTCTCCACCGTACTTAAATACCCCTGGAGTCATTCCATCAGGTCCCGCTGCTTTGCCTTGTTTCAGATTAGTGACAGCTTCAGTAACCTCAGTTAGGGACGGAGGACCTGTGTTTATATCCCATTCAGGGAGGTGTTGGATGTTCGGCAGGTTGAGTGTGGCTGTAGGCCAATTAAACTGTTCCTCATAGTGCTCTTTCCAGCGTTCCAGTCGTCTATCCTGGGAGCTAATTATGGTGCCATTTTTCTCAGAGGCCATCCTTGAAAAAAACAATACTTCAGAAGAACAGCAGACGTGCAAAACATGCACGTCTCAACGGCTTGATTCTCTTAAGAAAACCTGGCAAGGAATTCTTTATTAAAAGAATGAAATCAATGCACGCCTGGTAATATTTATTAGACTCCATAACTGAAAAAATAGGCGCAATGATAGTCCACATAAAACACGTTTGATAAGTCAAAAATATTGAAAATATATTTACTTACGGCACGATAAAGTACAGTATCACTGCACAACGTCAAAAAGCAGTTCTTCTGTAACTGTCTATTATCTGGAAACTTTTCCATAGCTGTTAAAGTCATACGGACGGCGCGATTCAACAAATCTAAGGGAAGTTGGTTGCTTTGCTCACTTCGTGTTAAGTTGTAAATCACAGCCGTCCCAGCCAATATCATTTCCATTCTTCTCAAGTGTAACCTCATCACACGTAAAACAGCCTGAAACAGACAATTACAAAATATTTTTACTCCCAAAAACTCATTCAATATTCAAATACATACTTGATACGTCTTCTCCGTCTAAAAATGCACCACACAAAATAATAAAATATAAAGCGAACAGAATAAGATAGACATTCGAAGTATACCAGGAAGAATACAAGCACAGTCGCTGGAAATGATTCACAATGTGTAAGTCTCATGGGTATGGAGAAGAATCGCAAACCAAAGTGCCGAAAACCCGACCTTTAAAGGATCAAACTGACATCCCAAGGATCCAGACCTGGTTGGTGTATAACACTGGCTTTCGATATGTGACTGGAGATGTGTATGAAATGTCACTCAAAATACATTTCTATGCACTTGGTGATCGGCAAAAATTATGGTATAAAGGCAGGCAGATTGTCCAAACCTCAGATAGAACAGCATTCTAATCCATAACTCACTGGTTGAGTGCACAAGCCAATGAGCCACAGCTAAGAGTGGGAGCAAAAAATCTGTCTCAAGAGACTTCTTGTGGTATTTGAGTATTCCGAGTTTCTTATAGATCTACGCACCACCGTCCGATCAAATTTACCAATCGTAGAAAATTATGCGTTACTGCACAGAACGCTGATGCTAGAGATGTGCTAAACTGCTTTTCAAAGTACTCTGCTCATAGTTCCAGGGTTCTTAAAAAAGTGCTCATTGATATACAATCCAGGTAATCTCAATGACAATAGTCTTTGTGATTTTGACAGTCCAAAAATTTATAACAGCATTGAAATATTATTGTATAAAGTTAGTCAGTAACGCCACAACAAACAAGACATTTCATATTGACAGTTATCAATCTTGAAAACTAACTTCACATATTGATAACACCATCCAATAAATCGATGAGACAATCAAAACCTGACAATAAAATAAGCGATAAGTGTGCACATACATCACATTCCACATTTTTGATGTAGTTGTGTTGTATGAGCTGGATGGTTTACTTGCGAAGCTTTTATCGCCCTACTAGGCAACATCTTCAACTCATACTTCAATTTGAAGTGAGCTTTTAAACACAGAAAAAGAGTTGCATACAAACATTATTCAAGAAGGCCAGGACTCAGTGTAGCACTCCTACCTTCAAGGAAAATTGAAGAAAAATATCTCATGGACGTCTTCCAAAAGAACGGATATCCATAAAACTTCATCAAAAGACTTCTACCCCCAAGCCAACCAACCAAATCAAAGGCCTCCAAGGGAAATACAAAGAAAATCATCTTACCATATATAAAGGACGTCTCAGAAATCACTGCAAGACTCTTCAAACTTTTAGGAATTGATGTCGCACATAAACCAACAAAATCACTTCACTCGGCTCTGTGTCAACCAAAAGACTCAACAGCGAAACAAGATAAAACCAACATCATCTACAAAATAAATTGCAACGGCTGCGAAAAACACTACATTGGCCAAATTGGACGCTCTCTTCACCTTCGCATATATGAACACAAACTAGCCACCAAAAAACATGATATCCACTCTCTCATATGGCCGCATACAGACAACCACGGACATCGATTCGACTGCGACAACGGTCAGATATTAGGATGAAGAAACACCAAGAACGCCAGAGAATTTTTTGAAAGCTTCGCATTCAAGTGAGTCAGCAGTAAACAGACACATTCATATAGATGAAATTTACCGATCCATTAGAAGAAAAACATATGCACAAAAAGTCAAACTTCGGATCAAGGAAACAATTAATACCAATACAAGTAGATTGGAGAGTGTGAAGACAGACAAGAGCAACCAATCATGTTTAATGTCACCAGGAGATATGAATAATAAACTCATGGAGAAATTTAAAAGCTCGCTTCAAATTGAAGTATGCGCTGAAGGTGTTGCCCCGTAGGGCAATGAAAGCTTTACAAGTAAGCCATCCAGCTCAGAGAACACAACAAAATCAAAATCATGCAGCTGAAATACAAATCTTCATCATTATATCTACATCGCGAATTCGCTTTAACTGAAACAATCATAATTTCATCAACACATTAATTGCCTCCATCTAAATACTCAGAAAAAAAAATCGAGAGAAAATAGATCAAAGGCACCACTACCCCAAATAGTATAATCTTATTCCCTCACGAAACACTTCTTAAGAATGAAATGTAACAGTAATACTGATGAGTTAAAGATAAACTTAAAATACTTGCTCTAACAGTACTACCGAACTCTGAATAAGTGTAGTCTTATGTGTATTTTTTACAAAATAATTTTACCTACTTACCTGTAGAAGGTCTGGTTTCACACACTCACGGTTGCTAGTAGCCTCAAAGATACTGTGGAGCGCATGTTGGAGGTAAAAGGCTCTATCTTTATTACGCGTCAGAGTATTCAATAGTAATTCGTCACCTCTGTCCCCCAGCATCTATACGGTATATGGGAAAAAATTATGATAGTTATGTGACCCACTTGTCCAACACTAACTTTACATGAAATGCTTTCTACTAGTCTTAACTAATTTCACATTAAATAAGTCTATTTTATATAACACAGCGATATAGTAGTGCGAACTGGATAGCGTTTCGAGCACAATTTTTTACCTATAATCCCATCATCTCACATTGATATGACTATGAACAACAAATCGTACTCAAAACGTCATCACTTATCAGTACCGCATCGATGCGAGTTATATAATCTTGTCTAACATGGAATCACATTCTACCATAGGAACCAAATTCTACACCTAAATTATTCCTAACTAAGTATTGTCACTTAATCACTAAGCCAGAGGCGGTGTAACTGCTACTTCGTCAATAATTTGACTAAAAACAAAAGGTTGTTAGGTAATACATGTCTATATATATAAGCAATGGGATCACGGTTACCCATAGAAATGCATCACTTTCAAAATAAAATAGTAAATACATTTCCGGGATTATCCACTTTTACCCCCCAATAAACGAAAGCCCCGAAAAGCGGATAAGGTATTAAACTATAGAACTACAAGGTCAAAAATTAGATAAGACCAATCGCTAGACATACTAACACGATTACACAGACCATAATGTATTAATAAGGGTTATATGATGAATACCGTTGTTACATATTAGATAATTCTATTCAATATAATGCACAGATACAATATTACTAACTGGATGACGCCTCCAGCACAGTTTATTCTCCATAACCGTATCACTGGTATGCTGTAATATGCTTACTAACAACAAATAGTGCCCGAGACATCATCCAGTTATTAATACTGTATCTGTGTTATAAAGAACAAAAGTATCTAACATAGAACTACGATCTACCGCAGTGTCCAAATTCCGCTACTATACGAATATGACTGTCTTATACTCCTCGCGCATTAATGTGTTGAGGAAACGCATGTCAAATTTAACCAATTTTGACTTCACCTCACTCTCATCTTGTCATTCATAGCGGGGACGCTAAGCGGCCACTCTACACATCCCTACGTTCCTCAGACCAACAGCCAAAGACTTCATGGATTGATGATGCATTTCGATTTTACCATCCCTAACTCTACCCCTCTAAACCCACGTCAGCTAATACTGCTCATCGAGGAAGGCGATGGCTTGACGCATGGAATGCTAAGAACCAATTGGTGATATGGCTTAAAATTGTTCTCAATGGCGAAAATTTATTTATTCTCTGTGACCTAGCGTATCCATTAAAACCTGTTGTTTTTTCCACGGAACTATTTTCTCCCTCGCATTTCTGTTTATCTTGTTTCTTTTGAATCTCTTCTCTCCCCTTTCCTATCTTTGTGTGCTATGTGAAGTAAGCCGACTTGAACTGCTGCATTCCTGTGCAATGTTCTTTGTTGGAACTCAGTCAGTCAGTCATGCGCAACAAGTGGCTTAGCCATTTCAATCGATACAGCTTCATAACACCATCGACCAGCCCTCTTTACCAAAAATTACGCCTGACGTCAATACTGTTCACCATGTTATACCACTTAACACGGGAAACAGAATGCAAACACCTATAATCAAAGACAGCTGGCCTCTTCAAGTTCTCTGCTTTCAACAGTGATGAATTACGGTTATAATAAGAACCAAGCAGACTACTGTAAATTACAAATCCCTTGATCCGTAGTCGGATATCACGCGCACGCCAGGGATGACGTAGGATGGGAAATACCACACAAGCCCTTTGCCTCTGTGCTGAGGTTTCGTTAACAGTTAGTCCGCTAGGGCTGATGAAACTTCATAAATGAGTGTGATAATCAACACGCTGAGTCGCTCCACTCCCTATCCTTAAACTAAGAGTGTGCAAACCAGTTATGTAGCGTAATCTTACAGTTTACAGGGGCTAGTCACATGCTAGATATGTCAAGATTTCACCTCAAGGTGTACAGAAGAATGTGTTATGACAGCGTCTTCAACTAGAAGGATTACATTACTTGTATATTCCACATCAACTTGACCGTACCATGTTAATCCCTATATTGCTCAAGTCGATCAGAGTCAAATCCAACTGTACAGCTATGATGATATTATATTAGAAATGGAGACATTGGTCATATATGATGAGCACCACTGGTTACCATCACTACCAAAAGTATTACGCGGTTGTATGAGTCTGAGTAGAATCAATGAATGATTAGTACGATATACTTTCTCGGAATGTCCTGCAAGCCTACACAATGCTACGACACCTCTCATCAAAGTCAAATGCTGCTTTTAGTTAGGGAATTATTACAAGTGTTGAATACCAGTAAGCGCAAGTACGTTCCAGTGGAAGTGTGGTTCATTGGCTTAAGCAACTAGTTAGTATCATTAGCCCCCAAACAATTATTGTGCCTTACAGCCCAGTACTGGACAACTTCTGGTTTTAGGTAATCAAAATCCTCCACCAGTCTTCCTAAAGCTCATTGAAAATTGTACTAGGCTTCCTTATTTTTTATTTTATTTTTTTTTATTACAATTTGATTCCACACTGTACTTTTGGTACAAGTATGGAATTTTCAGCATGGATATCGGTAGCCCAAATTTTGCAGGCCGACCATACATATCAGGTGTGCATCGGCGGGTGCTCGAATCCCGGACCATGTGCATGGTCGGCGATGAGTCTTGCTCTCAATCTCAGATACGCATATAGCCATTTCTTCCTTGAACAGAGACTTAGCGTCCTCATTAATTTGAGGATGTAACGGTTTACTGCTACTTGTTTTTCAATTTTGTTCAACCGTAGACATAAACGTGAGCGGACAAGGGCGGCATCGGAGTCTGCTGTCTGCTTTCGACATAGAACTTTCCACCGATGTGCAGCACTTCAAGTCCCCACACTCCCTCCTTGTAGCACACAAACCAAGAGAAGAAAGTAGAAGAAATGCATAATAGAGACAGTAAACAGAGGTGTGAGACAAAGGAATAGTAATAACGAAGAACGATATAGTTTCATTGGAAATCATAAGTCTCAAGGAGTGGATGCATCGGCGCCAACCATTGAGAAACATTTTGAGTCATATCACCAATTGTTCCAGACCATTGGTTTTTACCGCCCCGAGGACCCCAACCGGTCAGGATGTCTACACCTTCCTACGTGGCTGGCTTAAACTAACTGGTGTGGATTTCATTGACTGGTGACATGTTTCGGTTTGACCGCCGCTACCTCTTTTCCAGCCTGACCCTGTGTCAGCTAACATTGCCCGTCGAGGAAGGTGATGACTAGGCATACGTAACACATGTCCTAACCATCTCAGTCGATATAGCTTCAAAGTCTCGTCAATTGATTTCCCCTCCTTACCTAGCACCCGATAGACGCCTAACCTCAGTATTGTTAACCTTATTACACCACTTAACACAGGAGATAGAACGCAGGCACCTATGATCAGAGACAGCTGGCCTTTTGATGTCTTCCACTCTCAATGGCCATGTCTCACAGCCATAAAGGAGGACGGAGCAGACTGATGAGCAGTACACACGCCCTTTGGTCGATACCCGGATATCACGTCTACGCCAGAGACAGCGTAAACTGGCATATGCGAGACCAGCCCTCTGTATCCTTACTGCTGAGATTTCGTCAGAGGTCAACCCGTTGGAGCTGATGGTACTTCCCAGATAAGTGAGGCGGTCAACGTGCTCTACCACTTCACTCCCTATTTCTAAACTACGAGTCAGTGTGGTCCAGTCCTATAACATCATCTGACATTTGGCGGGAGCGAATCACATGCCAAATAATCCTAGATTCCAGCTCAAGGTGTTCAGAAGACTCTGCATTTTGTCAGCGTCCTCGCCTAGAAGGACTATACTCTCTGCATATTCTAAGTCAACGGGATTATTCCCTGATAGTAACAAGTTAATTCCTGAGTCTCCGAAGTCAGTTAGGGTTAGGTTCATTAGTACATCTACGATGAAACTGGATAGAAATGGGGATAGTGGGCATCCCTGACGGACACCACTAGTCGTCACCACTTCAGATGACAACTCACCGTAAGCCCTCACCTGGCTGACATGAGTTCGAGTAGAGTGACTTGATCAGTGCAATGTATTTCCTCAGAATTCCCTTCAGGACCAAGCATCGCCATAGTACCCCTAGGTCGACAGAATCGAATTCCGCCTTTAGGTCAAGAAACATAATGATTGTTGGACGCCGGTATGAGTGCCTATGTTCTAGAATCTGTCGAAGAGTGAAGATATGATCAATACACCCTCTTCCTGGTCTAAAGCATGCCTGGTTCTCTTGGGTTTGTTCCTCCCGAGCACCACTTAGTATACGCAATATTATTGACCCTAGGACTTTAGATACTATATTTGTCAAGCTAATCCCTCTGTGATTATCACAGGAAGACTTATCTCCCTTCTTGTATATCGGGATAATCAGTGACTTACACCAACCCGATGGGACTTCCTCCGATTCCCAGATGCTGCCTAGTACCTCAGTTAATGCAGACAGTAAACTGTCTCCACCGTACTTAAATACCCCTGGAGTCATTCCATCAGGTCCCGCTGCTTTGCCTTGTTTCAGATTAGTGACAGCTTCAGTAACCTCAGTTAGGGACGGAGGACCTGTGTTTATATCCCATTCAGGGAGGTGTTGGATGTTCGGCAGGTTGAGTGTGGCTGTAGGCCAATTAAACTGTTCCTCATAGTGCTCTTTCCAGCGTTCCAGTCGTCTATCCTGGGAGCTAATTATGGTGCTTCCATATTAGTTTGATTATTAAATGTATCACACAGTGAAACAGTATTGTATACTGGATGACGTTTCGAACACAATTTATTGTTCATAGTCATATCAATTTTTTTACACATATAATTATGGTGCTATTTTTCTCAAAAATTGTTTTACTTATCATTTGCCTCTTGCCACCTGTTTCCCAGATATGCCTAAATAATTTTCTGGTGTTGCCAATCGCCGATGCCGTTTCACGGTCATTGCGAAGAATTATGGTTAATTTTCGTTTGAGTAGCTTCCGCTCCTCATCATAATCGGAGCTTGCTGGAATCAGTCTTCTAGCGTTAATCAGTTAGGATGAGGCGGTAGAGATCCACTTACTAACTTTTGGTTTTAGCTTATTAACAGCTTTTACAGCTGTATCTACAGCTAACTGTACGTTGTGCTAGACTACATCAGGGGAGGTCCTGCTGTTGAGTCAGTGCAAGTGTTCCAGCTTGGGGGGGGGGGCTAATTTCCTACTGATCCTTTCCCTCGAGAGCTTATCATTATGTTGTTTATTTGAGTTCTTCGTTAATATGATGGTCGAGGTTGTCAGGTTAGGCAATGAATCTGTGTGTTTCAAGTTGCTGCTGACTAAGAAAAGATGACTGTGTGAACAGAACCGTAGGAAATGATCACTGTAGTCTGTCCGTCAGTAGGGAACTCCATGGGTGCCACTGATATATTTCTATAACTTGCACAACTTCCCTACTTGAAAATTGAAGGCTCTTATTAGAACGACTATATGAAAGTTTCGCTTTTTGTGGCGAACTAGACAGCTTTTGATAGGACTCATCCTTTACCTTATCCGAACTTTAGTAGGTCAGAAAGTAAGCAAAGATTAGGGAAAAAACATCTGCGGGTATCACAATTTTTCCTTCTTCGCACCACGGATCTGTACTACTTACTTTACTTTACTTCGGCTATCTCCTACGGGAGGATGAGCCGGCTTCATGAACCATGAAGTTTCATGGGAATTGGGTACGAGTGATGTCCCCAGCATCGCTCGGCCTTTTGTTTGAGAGTGCAGCCCTAGCCTTTACACAACCAAGTGTGACCTACAAGGCAGTAAGAGTGGAGTAGGGAGTCCATTATCCATTGGCAGCTGGTGACCGGATTCCGGTTCATTCGCCTTTTTGAATGAGGCCAGTCATCCAGGGCATCCAATAAACCCTTTGTCCATACGTCTGCCAGTGAGCTTCATACGCCAGTCGTTGGAGGTTTGGAATCGGGGTTTAGCCATCTCCCCTAGACTGTCATCCAATGGACAGTCAACCCGGTGAAGAGCGCCGGGCATCCACTTTTGCCCTCTCACTTTGGTGAAGAACACCTCCGCCACGTGAAGGCAGTGAGTAGGACTTCCTCAGGAGAGGCTATGTAAGACGCCCGGTCATATGGGAGCATTTCAAGAGGTGTACGGAAGGGTGGCCAACCCGCAGCGCAAGACACCCACCCCCGACCATCCTGAGGCTTTGGACAGCACGCATATGACTATCCACTGGGATCCAGTCAACTAGGGATCTGATGAATAGGGGTGAATACCAGAAAACTATGTGTTTCTGCCCTAGCATTCAATGATGTTTCTAGACCTGCGAGTCTACGGGAACTAGCTGAAGAATTTCTTGACACCCATAAGGCGGATTTCGCACACTCCCCGTTGGCCAGGGAGGGGGATAAGTAAATAACCACACTCTGATCTTGTATAAGTCTTCGAAACACAAGAAGCATCCATGTCTCCAGATGCCGGGTTCCTGATGCTGAATGCTCCAATTTGAAGTGGACAGAGTAGTTTTAAGTTACTATCGGAAGTGTTCTTGGGGCTCTGTTCAATATTAATGGTCGCGGAGTTAATTGAAGGTGAGACCTGTCTGTTGAATAGTACTAACAATGTGGAGGAAATAAAAGATTAATGCATACAAAGGTGTGTCATGATCACGAAAGTTTTGAGTGGCTTCCTCGTCGCCCGCACTGTGGAAGGTGATTTGTTCTTGAAGCACCTGAAACAGAAGGAGCATCGATATTGTGTAACCGCAGAGCCCAGGAGAAAACTGCTTGAGATATGTCACACATGGGCTGTTGGAAGTGGCTTTTAGAGTTCTGTCCGTATTAAGATCTCATTCCCGGTTACGGACCCCCTCTAAATAAGTCGGGATATACAGTCTACGGGTTCAACCTTTTCTAACGCAGCTCTCCAGATCGAAAAGGCAGCATAGTTGACTTACTAGTCGTCTGAGGGGAACACCTTACTTCTGGTACATTCCTATTTATCAACAGCACAACTTCTTGCTCAGACCCTACTACATAGTGAACAGACTCCTTTCAATATAACGACTACCCAGACGACCGTTCCGTAACGGTAGGACAAGCAGGAAGACTAGTTTACACGAGTGTAGCTCGTTGAGATGTGCAAGTCTGACCAATACGTTTAGGTGGCAGTTATCGGTTTGGGAAGTGAAATGAAATTAACCAGAAATAAAATCATTATGACTAAGATACAGGACGGTTTTAGAATGCATAGTTTCCTCTTTAGTTTATGTACAGCTAGTGTTTTGACTATATGTAGCTGAAAAAACGTAATATACCAAATCACATTATATATACAAAGCAACTAAGGACTGAGAAAAATGTCTTCTACGCTTATAAGAGCAATAGAAATGACCAGATGCAAAATCATGTCCATATATTGAAGGCTAGCTAATCAGCTACATACAGAGTACTGAGTAACCGTACTGCAGTCTTTAAAATTATTCAGGACTAATATCAACATTCAACTTACTGTTATATGAGGATACTGATGAGATAGTCTGTAAATTCCCTCCAATTCATGTTCATGACTCGAAAGCCAGGAAGCAAACCCAGCAAATGTAAGTCTCGGATGGTTCTCAAGCAAAGTCCTATGAAGTAAAGCTGAATTTATGAAGACGTTCGCTCACCTTGCATCACTGAGCTTTAAACCAAACTGATTTCCTGACAAGTCTATGTGTTCCAGAAAAGGTAGAGCTTCAGAGGAACAAAGTTTATCAACAGCATTAAATCTTCCGGTATTAGTACGTGGTTTATCAGACACATCAAGTATGCGAAGTTGGTGAAGTTCCACTACATTACACAGTAACTTCTCAATATCCTCCGTCCTTTCTAGCTGCAGACGATGCATTATGAGCCCATTGAGCCGCTCACGAATATTTAGAAGAGGAGTGATATCTGTCACACGTGTTCTAGAAATGTTTAGGTAGCGAAGACTTAATAAATCATCGGCAATTATTTGCAGGCATTGTGAGCTCAATTCTGTCCTACTTGCATTAAGGACACTTAAATTTTTGAATCTCCCAAGTGCGACCAAGATTGGCAAGTGAGTTTCACATAAGATGGAGGTCCCCGATATATTTAGACACATCAAATTTTGAACAGTCCATTCACCGAGACAACTGATGATGGTATTCAAATTTACTTTCGTTAAATTCATTGCAGAAAGGCTGTAAAGATGAAAATCTTTGAGAACTTTCAATGAAGAAGGACCAACATTCGCTTCTTTGATTACTGGAGACATTAAATCAACACAATCCGCTGTAAAAAGGCCCATTCTATCATCATCTAAGGCGTTGCGCTTGCAAAGTTGTAGTAAAATCTTTTGAGATGGCCGGGCAACTAGACGAAAACCAGGATAGGGGAACTTCCATTTCCGTTTAACTTCACAATTTTCATTACTCAAATAAGTCAGAACATTCAGATTCTTACACACACACCTGACACACAAGTCCTCAAGAGATGACAGTGCATCCTCTGAAAACAAAATACTCGGTGTACTAACGGTTTACGGTATTATACAGTTGCATAACAGGTATGTAGAGGGGAACTTACTTTTAATGTAGCTATCTGACGACAACGCCATACAATCTGTAGCGCACTGTCTAAACTGCGCTCTCATGATGCACAATATCCAATATTGTTTCGAAGAGCTAGCGTCAGCCAAACTGATATTTGTGTTCACCTCTTGGCTGTGAGGTTAAGATTTCGCACATTTAATAAACTCCTGAGGGGTTTGTCCTGCGCACTCCACTGCCGTAGCTTAAACTGACTGCTAGATGAGTGGTGCGGAGAATAGTTATTTGTGGCCCGTAGAATATTATGCGTTAGGACCATGTCTCTGCTGTGAATGGAGTTAATCCTTTCATCCATAGGTCATTCGGTGTTGTCAAAATAACAATAGATATGTTTAGTGTAGTTTATGTATACTTCAAAGCGAAAACGTACAAAAAAGTGGATATTGAAATTTCGTAGTTAAAAAATAGGTGAAAATTTATAATGTATAAGTCAGGGAATGCGTACGGTAGTTGAAAAAGTGAGCTGGTGGAAAAGTGTCTGTTCTAAAATACTAGTTTGGATGATAATCATTAATTTGGTTGGAATGAGTTTAACCCGAGTGAATAATCCACTTTGTCAGCATTTGTATTACTCTATGATTATCCAGACCCCAATGAAAGCTTTCCACAGGAGAACTAGTAGCCTCATCTGTCAGTAAATCGGGAAGCAGAAAACAGAAATGCAAAAAAGTGGGGCGCACCCGGTTCTTAGTTCTCTGAAGCGTTGTATTTTGTGGCATGTCAGGAAGAATTCCATGTGACTTAATTGGAGAACATCCTCCAGAAATTTGTTCCCGGCACTGATTCCGGTTACTTGCAATAATGCTGAGCACGAGCTAAGCGTGCTCCTCTCCACGGAAATATCGAAGACAGAAACCATTCAAGAATTGCTTAGTATGGCTGTCAACCGTGGTTAACATTGAGTGGACGTACAATAAATTTGTTTACTCGAATCGGTTTCTGGTTCACTGCAGGCAACAATCCCCGCCGTGGCCAAGACGTTTCCTCTCTGGCAGAAGACCTGAGCAGTAAAATCTGAAGCAATAATGTTATTTGTGGAATTTTCCAGTATACTTATAGTAACCAACTATGAGTCACGCGGTCAAACTGCTGTGCAGTAAAATTGGGCCGAACTTATATATCACGTTGGTTGAAATTTCGCTTGGAAGAGTGTTTTGTCAATAACTTTTAATAAAATTGTGTTACATGTAAGCTGTACTGATGGGAGTTCCCATTTCCTGATTGGTTATGTTGTTGTCCACGTCATGTGATCCGACTACGACATACTCTTAGCATGCTAGCTCCAATGATTAGGGTTTCAGGCGCACTGTGTCAAAATATCCCTTTAATGAGCAAGATGGGATAGTTGTAGGGCAAATAGTTTACTGTAAGTAAAAGCTGCACCTTTCGGCATAGTATCATTCAATGAGGACTTCATGTCTCAGGATATCCATGTAGCTATTTTTATGTGAAAAACATTACTTTTTGATAAAAGAATGCTGTCAGTAGATGGAAATCACTTGTAAATACTAACAGAACCTTCTGTGCGAAAAGAAGTTATCGTGTTGATGTGTCTCTCACCGTATGTGTGTTTGAACAGGGATTATCGTATTTTAAAGGTTATCTCTAAGTGAACTTAATATACATTTGCACTGATTGGTACAGCGTAGTATGGGTTAGTTGAATTCAGTGTACAAAAACATCTCAACTTTACTAAAATTGTGTCATTGTCTGCCTATCTGACTGCTAGGCTAACAAATGTAGGTGGTTATCATGATTGCCGCAAGTGCAGTGTAGTAGAGAATGCAACTACTCGTTTAATTTTCCTCACTGTTTCACTTAATGCATTATGATATGTATACGGTATAATTATACACATGCAATGTGTTGATTATTAGAACTGAATCTAACCAGTTTTTTATTATCGATCTACAGATTAAGCTGAAAAATTGCCACTATATGCTAAATTGAGTCTTTTTGCTCTGAAGTAATGCTAGTCAGTGCTTGATATGTCCTGTGAGACCATTTTAGAACAGATTCATAATCTACTCACTATAGAAAGTTAGTTATTTCAGAATAAGTAAGATTTAATTCAGCGTTATAGTAAGCTTGGAATACTGTCTGTTATACTGTTTCCACTGACAGTGTATGCTTAATGCTGCAATATTTTTGATCATCAATAGTGCAGATGAGTTTTTCCTGAATTTCTCATTTACATGAAGCAGTACAGATTCAGTATCACGATTGGATAGGTTGAATTATATGGCAATGTTATCCTCATCAACAAAATTTGTCTGTGTATCTTACGATATTTTAAGTGTTTCTCTCTATTGTTAACAGAGTCCATAGATGTTTAGATTTGAGGCATGTTCAGTTTATATTCGTTGGCTATCGTTTCCTAAATATAAGAATTTAATTTCCATAGGATTCACAAAACCATGTTCATTTGACATTACTGAGGTTGTGGATTAATTTCTAAGTTACATATTTGCAATACTTCCTCTAGTGTGGATGTATTTAGCGTGTTGGTCTGCAAGCAATCTTGATGAGAGAATGACGCCTCAACAGTATGGGTGTTTCGGTTATTGTCTTCAAACTCGCGTATAACACTGGAAAGCATATAAGGTCTGTTGATGCATACGATGCCAGCACAAAAACAGCTGTGGAGTACAAATACTTTTATTTACATGGGAATTTAATGTAGCATTAACAGAATCAATGTATTCATATTCCTACCTATATGGGACGCACCAGTTTTACAGGCATGGATAAGTATTATTTAAATTACTAATATGAAGAATTATATTTTTTACCTTCATGTTGTGCTAGTCCTTATATGTGCTTTATCTTTTCAGGTATATGGAAATGTCAGGCGGGTAAAATAAAGCTAATACCCTTCATCAGAAATTTATTTTGTAAATTAATGAAATTTCTGTTTCCATAGAATAGCACATTGTAACAAAATAAGCAGGATTTCGCAAAATGAATAATTCTGTTATGTTAGATATGCCTTATCAAACCAGTTGCAAGTCTGCATACTGCTGAACGCCAAGTATCAGCCACGTCACGTAAACCGTCAATGCCCAGCTCTTGCTACGCTAGGACTCACGCTGTTCCTTGAAGTTTCTCAGAAACGCTTAGTAATAACGGACGGAAAAACCAAAACGCCGACTGGCCACTCGAGAATTCTTTATTGTAACACCAACATATAAAAATTGTTATCACTAAGGTCTGTGAACAAATATCACAATAATGAATCACAATATTACTTCTGACGGTTGTCTCCTGACTTCTTTCTGAACAGCGACAGATGAGACGATGACTGTCGTATTGATGCCTCCGCGAAAATTGGGGAAGTTGGTTTTGAGCAAACAACCATGAATTGATCGTTCAATCTTCAACTACATTGACACTCCCCGGCGAAAAAGGGATCCAACCCTTTTTTCCTTCACGACCAATACATGTTGACTTGGATGCCATTGCGAGAACCTGGGTCACACGGACAGAGCTGAAATGGAAAACAAACAGAAAAGCCAACACACCACAAGCATACCCACAGCACAATCTCACATATCAATGACGACCTGCGTCTCCAGACAGAGACCTCCTCTTGACATCTTGCAACACAATCGCCACTTGCTAGAATGACTCTTGCAGAATGCGATGTGACCATAGCATCACCTCATGATACTCTACGCACATCCTCTTATCTACTCACTACCAATTATCACTGCAATCGCTTGTCACTCATTCTGCCTCAGTTCTAGTAACGGTGACGTATGTGAGCCTCAGTCGTTTACACTCTTTCTCCCCGGCGTGTCGGACCACAGCTAATAATTATCTCCGTGTGCATTTCATTCTCAGCAATAGCCTCCCCGGCGTATACGACCCATCTGCTGTCCTTAACATCAATCAATTCATTCATGGATGTAGAAGAGTGGACACAACTTCAGAAGTAATCACGGCGAAAATTTTAAAAACTTATGCAATAAAATCAAGGTACGAAAACAACGAGTAAACACAATGAATCCAAAAACAACAATTGATATGACACACCACACGTATATACAAACAGTACACACAAACTCGCAGTTCATGTCTTGGTGGAATTCCTCTGAAGAATCGCAGGGCTAACACCAGTACGCCTACAAACCTTCACAGGTTGACGATTGTAAGTTGTGGAATGTCCGGACACAAACAAGATTAACCAACAATTACAATAATTGAAACTCACACAATTATTTAACACAAACACATGTACAACCAACACATCAAAGTGGTGGATTCTGCATTGGCGAACTACCCTTGAAGAACTGTAGGACTTACAGCAGTACGCCTACATTCCTTCTCAGGTTGATGATACAAGTGGAAGTCGTCCGGACACAAACAGAATTACCAACAGCTAGATGACAGATGATATCAATTCAGTATATACAACATGAACATATGTACAAAATCACACACCAAGCACATTGGACTGCTCATCGATGCTCTACCCTTTGAAGAATTGTAGGACTTACAGCAGTACGCCTACAACCCTTCTCAGGTTGACGCTCTAGGTCGGAAAATCGTCGCAGAGTTCATTTGCTGACTTCCTTCTATCAGCTCTATCCTCAAATCTGAACGGCAACTCGCTCATGTCATTGTATCGTAGAATAAAGATGACGAACAAACACACGACGTATCTGGTCAACCAAGCGTAGGCACAGAGTAATTTACACCAAAGATAATGGCATTCAAATAGTAACTTGAAACTAGAAATGCCTTTATTCATGCAAGTCAATTTAACAATTACTCTCTCGTTTACACTTGGCTTATCCTCACTAAACTGACCAATATCTTTCGTCCTTCCAAATGCACCAATACTATCATAGTCATTGCAGAAGATACTTGAGTTGATGGGCGACTGTTTCATTGTGGATGACAGCACCAACGACAACTGAGTGACACAAGTTGATGAAGTTAGCGGTGGATCAGAAGCTGTTGTTGTTCGGCTTTCAGAAATTTGTCTACCTGCAAGACCACCACCACTGCTGTCTTTTACTATCAGCTCAGGTTTAGCACT